GCAGCACACACCACGCGTCCTTCCACACCGTTTATTTGGGGGCAGCCCCGAGACAGCAGTACTGGGCCTCTGCGGGCCCCCGACGCCCAACCCCGCTGCCCACCGGGCAGGCGCTGGGCCTCAGGCCTGGTCCCCAGAGTCCTGGTCCCCAGAGGCGTCAGGGGAAAAGGAGGACGGGGCCCGGCGGCACACCGCTACCGGCCCGAGGGCACCCGCGACTCCGCAACCACCCACATCCCATGTCGTTCAGGCCCAGGTCTTCGTTCTGCTGGAAGGTGCGGTCGTAGCGCTCCACGCGCAGCTCCGGGTCCTCCTCCGGGGCGTAGACGTTCTGCGGGAGAGACGGAGGCCTCGTCACGCCTCACAGCCTTGGGGAGCGGCTCCCCGGCGAGGGGCTTCAGAAGAGATTCACACCTCCCGGGGGCAAAACTTGGCCATCATCCCACAGACCACCACATCAACCTAAATCCCAGGGAGCACACACCACTCCCACCAAGCCAGGGGCAGTTTCCTTCCCCTGGACAGAGCCTGCAGCACCCCACGCACTGCCAGAGCCCCGGAGGGAACCCTGGCCCCCAGCGCAGATCAAGAAAGGGAGCTCAAACCACTCGGGGCACCTGGAGGGGTTCGTCTTGGAGCGCACACAGCGTACCTGGAGATAGCTGTTGCCCGCAGGGTCATCCAGGATGAAGTGAGCCTCTGTCCGCCCGGCTATGACCTGCGGAGAGAGGGCACACCCAGGCGCTGAGGCGCTTCCCAAGCCTCCGGCACCGCCGGCACCAAGGCACGCTTCCCAGGCCCGTTTTCCTCAGCGCGAGAGCTTGATAAACACACACGGACACAGCGAGGCTTCCCAGGCCTGTTTTCCTCAGTGCGAGAGCTTGATAAACACACACGGACACGGCGAGGCAGCGCACGCACACGCTTCAAAGCGGCGGCCACGCTGGCTAAAACCAGGCCGCAGAGCCTGGAAAACGAGGAGCACACCCACCTCCTGCAGCTTCCCGATGAACTCCTGCAGCTTTTCCGCTTTGCTGGGGGTAGAGCTGTCGCCCAGCGTGAAGGGGTTTCTCTCGACCTGGAAGAGCAGCCCCGCTCGCTCACCCTCCGGGAGACAGCCAGCCCGGTGGGCAATCACCCAGGCAGAGGGGTCTGCGCCCCGCGGCGCAGGACCACTCACCAGATCCCTGATGTCCTTCAGGAGCCCTTCCAGCGTGGTGAACTTCCCCCCCAGCGCTCCCATCCCCAGCTCGAACTCCAGCTCGGGGATCTCCACGCTGCAGGTCTCCGACTGCAGGGGAGAGCGGCCTGTGAGTCCCCGGGAAGAGACCCCGCCGCAGGGGACGGGGGCAGCGTACCTTCAGGATATCCCTCGTCATGTCGGAAGGGTCTGTAATCCGAAGGGTAATCCTGGTGCCTTGCGGTTCGATCGCTCCTCCGGACTTCACCTAGGAGCACCCAGCCCTCAGCTTCAGGGATTTCTACACCTACA